TGCCCATGTCTTTGTATAGAGAAGCCCCTGTGCCAGGCACAGGGCCCTTTCCCCCAGTAAGGCCCCCTTAGGGCTGATGTATAAAATTGGACATCCGCAGGCAGTGGTTTCCAGAGTCAGTCTGCCTGGGTTCATCTCCAGGCCTGCTACCAATAGCCGTATGGCCCCAGACAAGCTAATACGTTCTTTGAGCCTCCGTAGACAGAGTAGGTAAAGGAAAGAACTGTATCATAGCATTTCTGGAGGACTGCATGAGCCAAGACACTTTAAGCACAGTGTCTGGAACATGGTAAATACCCAATAAATGTGTGCTCCTGTTAATACAGCTGCATTTATCTTAAAGATGTCTCCCACACCCTGGCTGGGGGACCCAGGAAGCCATGTGGGGGTTAGTCTGTGGCTTCACGCAGTCCCTAGCACACAGCCCTGGGCACCTGTGGGTGTGTTTATCCAGTTTCAAAGGCTGGGGATGGCTTTCTGCCTCTTCTCAGGCTCAAGGAGCAGGGAATAAACAGGCAGAACATCAGGCTTCCCTTTTCCTCCCTACTTCTTACTTCCTTCCCTGGACTGCACGTGTCCCCACATCCCGGGGAAGAGCAAAGCAGCAGATGGGGGAAACGAAGCAGGACCAGGCTGAGCCGGGTCCCAGCAGCACCCAGCTCCCCACTGCTGCTGAGGTAGCATGCTAATGTCCAGAGCCTGGCCAGGTCCCTAGAGAGCTGAGACGACAAATAGCTTTCTCTTTGCTCTGGTTCCTTTATGTCATGGCAAGAAGCCAGGACCCTGAGGTTGAAAACTCTCCCATCCCAACCTCTCTCCCCTGGGACAGTGGTTTCTCTGCATCGGAGGATAAAAACTCTGTCCCCGACTCCCAGCCTGCTCCTAAACTGGCCACCTGCTCCTTCTGCAGGGCTGTGCCACTCTGGGATTTTTTCAGGACAAACTCAGTCTTCTGGGTTGTTTGGGGATGTGGGGTTTGTGTGAGAGACTGGGGAGCCTGTTTTCTGGATGAGATCATTGTTCCTTGAGTTATTACCTCGCTTTCCTTGGCCTGAACAAGCATCAGGAATGTCTTGGTGTGGTGTTTGTTTGTGAAACATCAAATCCCTGCCTAGTTACGCCCCAGCAGGCCAGCTTCCCTCCAGACCCTGCTCCCTCGGAAGCTCCTCAGTCTTCAGTCCTATAGGTGCAAGTTTCTGTTACCTGCTTCTGAGCTAAAGGGTCAGCTTTCATCCCCCGGGCCAAAGCATGTGGCAGGGCCTGTGGTCTCCTGGGCCAGGGGTCTCCTGGGAGATCCTGCTTCATAGGTTTCATGTGAGGGCTAATTTTGCTGGTAGGGAGTGTAGGCAAGAGGCCAGGACAGCCTTTGGCAGCATTTGGCAGCATTTGGCAGCTCCCGGAGAGAGCGAGCCGTTTGAATTCATAGTGAAGTTTAAGGATGGTCACCGCCCTCCACTTCCTGCCTGTGAGCCAGGGCCACTGGCTGCACTGACCTGGCTGGCAGTGTGGCTGCCTCAGGCTGCAGGCACTGGCCCTGCAGGCCACACCAAGGGGGAGCAGGTAGCCTGGGGCCCCTGTCTGCCAGCCACTGGTGGGCCTGGCCCCAGGAGTCTGGCCCTGGTACTCTGACAACGATTCTATTTTCGGTTCCCGAATAGCTCTTCAGCCCTCACTCCTATCTGAGCTTCCTGAGTCATTTCTCCCCGCTCCCAGCCCAGCTTCCTTTTGAATGGAGTGGATTATCATAACACCATATGTTAGAGAAGCAATTCACAATTTATAAAGCCCTTTTATGCACCAGTTCTCTTCTGATTTGTCATTAGCCTGTGAGGCCCACGCACAGGTCATTTAATCCATGTTTCACAGATGAAGGGCAATGGCGGCTCAAAGAAACTCAAGCAGCTTGACTAACATGAAACATGGTACACATATGAACATGGGCACATGCATGCACACACACGGGCACACTGCAGGTCTGTGAGTCAGTGTGGGGCTGAGTCTGAGAACTGGGCTTGCTGCCTGGAGTCTGCTGCTCATGCCCACCGCCCTTCACACCCAGGTGTCCGTGGTGTACGGCACCAGTGAGGAGGATGCCTTTCCTTTCTTCTTTGCGGAGGCTGTTTGCTGCTGGCGAGTATTGCATTTTGAATCTAAGGGATTTAAAATGCTGGTGGGGCATGAACAGGACTCTAGGCAAAGTGGCGAAGGTAGCCAGAATTTGCTTCCCCATTTGGGGTCTTCTTAACCCTTCGTTCCCTCAGCACTTCACCCCTTCCTTTCACGGTGCCTCCTGGGGCCTAAGGAAAGCTCTTCGTTCCCTCACTCCCCTACTCTCAGGCATAAGTGACTGGGAACAGCTTAAACAGTTGCCCATCCACACCTCAGTACACTGTTACAGTTCTGTGGTCTGTGCCCCAGCTTACAAGACAGACACATTCAAACACATTGTCTGCCTGAGGAAAGCCCACATTTTTAATAAGTAGTGTAGCTTCAGCAAATGACTAATGAAAACAAACACTGGTCACAATACTGAGTGGGCCCTGGAGCCCCCACTTGCCCCTTCACAGTGCCAGGCGTTACCCACAGCTGCTGATCTGTGGGGAGGCCTGCGAGAGTCCCAGGGGAGGGCTGGGCACCCAGGGCCAAGGAGGGGGTTCTGGCCATCGGCCATTACCAGCCAGGTGGGAGCAATGCAATGTTTCCTCACATACCCTGCCTACCAGCAAATGCCAGGTACATATCAACACCAATTACTTTGTTTCACCTTTTCTAGAACATCTGAAGGAAGAGACTACTTCCCTTCCAATTACTCAGGAAACACTCTCCATGATGTTTCACACTGCTCGAGCTCCCACAGCCAGTGAGTGTGTCCCGCAGTCTGGGAAGTTCAGAGTGTGGGGTGCCCAAGATGAGAGGCACTGGGTGGGATAAAGGAGGTGGGAGCCCCGGGCAGGCAGAGGACGCCCAGTGGGTTCAGGCCCCACCAGAGGTCCAGGAGCAGAGTGTGGAGCAAGGAAGAAAGGAGCAGAAAGGACAGGCATGTGTGGAATGTGTGACTGCATGTGTGTGAGTGCACGTGTGTATGTGAGTGTACGTGTGTGTAAGTGTATACATGCATATGTATCTGTGTGTGTGTGTGTGTGTGTGTGTGGGAAGATGGCAGAGGCTGAGGGTGGAGGACACCGAGAAACTGAGAACAAGCCTGCCCTCCCCACACTTTTGTTGTGGCCAGAACTAGTCCTGACTGAAGCAAAGGAACCATTTCCACTGTCTGCTCTGCCTCTTGCCCTGTATCTGAATGCTGTCACCCAGAGAATGTGATCACACTTGCAGCACTAGCTGTGGCACTTCAAAAATACCCGTGTCTTGTTTATCAGGGTTCCTAAGTCCTGGTGTCCCCCGTACTCCCGCCCCCACAGTTCCAGGCCGGGTAGAGTCCTGAGCTCCATGGGGCCGCATATTGAAGTGGGGCCTCTCCCTGAGAGTGCCTGGGGCCCAGATGGAGTACAAAACTTCCGTCAGCACTTGGCCAGAATTCCAGGTACATCTCCTTATTTGGGGCTGTGCAGGATCCAGATCCCCTGCCCTTCCTGGAAAAGCACAGGCCCCTCTTAAGCCAACAGGTAAAGGGATGGCTGCTTGCCCCCTAGAAAAGAGGGTTTAGCCTCATGGCAACCTGTGCTCTGAGGGGTCAGCCCAGGGCTGAGGACTTCTGAGCTCTTCTGGAGTGAGAGGGAAGGCAAGAGCATCCCTGTTTGGCTTTTCCACGGCCCCCAACAGGGGCTAGGAACCAGGTCGGCACTGAGCAGCCGCCCTGTCCAGGGACCTGTCACATGTTAACTTCTTCAGCTTCCTGGAGGGCAGGCTTCCTGGGCAGCACACGCCTTTCACCAGCCTACATACTCTTTCCCAACAAAGGACATTAATAGGCGTGAGTCTGGTCCTAGGGCCAAACCGACTGCCCCCTGCCATTTCTTTTCCCTGGGCACGTGGCCTTGTCTGCAGAATGAGATCTCTGTCTCTGGGCCCTGTGGCGATGCATTTACCAAAAACCTCTCATAAGAGGCTGACATTCTTATAAGAAATTAAAAACTAAATGCAATTCTAATTTTTAGGCGATTCATCTTCTATTTTTCCTTGCCTGTCCCTCAGTCTCTGCCAATTTAGAGTCAACGTGTCACGTGATTCCTTTTAAAATTGGGTTCTGGCTGCTGCTGCTTTTCCTGCCCACTGCCCATCTGCCTGCTCTGCAGGCAACCCAAGTACTGGGAGGGGCAGGGGGGACTGCCACAGAGAACGCTCAAGTAAGAACTGAAATATTTGACTAGACTTGGTCCTAACACAGGCGACTAATTTTATTACCCTAAATGTCCTGGAAACCCTGTTGCCTCTGATGTTAGAAGACTCCTGCTCCAGCATTCCCGGATTGCCCTCTGCAGCTAGCCCTGGCATTTTCTACAAGTGGCTGTGACGTGAGTCACAGTGGGCAGTCTCCAGTGAGGCTGACCATGAAATGAGCACAGAGGGAAAAAGCTGCATCGTCCTTCACCACAGGGTGAGAGGCCAGCAGGCTGGCAATGGCCCCTGGACCCCCTGGGGTTTGTGGCAGGGGCTAAGGGGTCAGCATCAGCAGGGAGGAGGGTGAGCCCAGAGAGGACAGGTCAGACCAGGCCAGGTTCCACCAGAAAGGGCCCTGGTGTTGATTGCTGGGCAGGGCCTGTAATATCCAAACCAGATAGTGCCTTAGGATGAAAAGAATGTGCTGAGTTCTTTCTCACAATCCTTTTCATTTAGGTAAAGGTGCAACAAACGAGGTCCATGTAGACATTTCTGTCCACCATGAAAGTCTTCTTTCTCACTCAACGAGGAAGTCTCAGGCAAACTCTTGTGGTTTATTAATATCACAGACAAAGCATATTTTATTTTTATTTGAATTAGCCAATGAAAATGTTTTATACAAGGTAAACACTTCACCATGAGATATTTAAATTAATTCCATCCTACAGAAATCTCCAGCTATCACATACAAATAGAGGCCATCAATTAGTTATAAATTAAATAAGTTAAAATAAATAGTTTTAGGATACTCTGATTGATAGGTCCAGCATAAATCCCCTGTTTGCTCTCTAACTTTGTTCCTGGCTCCATTATCTACCCAGTAAGATTATTAGGCCTTTGTGAGTAGGCCCTTGTTGAAAGAGCTCTTGGTACCCTAATCTCCAAATCATATTCAGATGCAAGGACTGGGTGTGCAAAATCTAAAACAACAGTTGCAGAGCAGAGATCAGCGAGGTGAAAGGCAGAAGTTGAAGCGTTTTAAACACCCCCTCACACACCTTCTTACAGTTCACATAGAGATAAGGAAACAGATAACTTAGCAAAAAGGAACATGTGGTCACAGAGCAGCAGCATATGAATAGCAGGTGAGTCCAAAACCAGTAATGTGGCCAAATTCTTCTTTGTACTAAGACATGGCAATTTCCAACCAAGTCTTAAATTTCACCATGGAGTGTCAGGTTTTGTTAAGTGAGTTGGATTAATTTAAGCCTCTGAATTAGTTGAGATAACTTAAGCTTCTCAGGGAAGACTTGAAACCACAGAGGACAATATACAAGGCATAGGTCCCAGAGCCCCTCCACAGACAAGTGATACTAACTGATCCTTGTACTCCTTCATCTCATATTCCATCTCCACACAGAACTCCATGCAGCCTCAGGCGATCAACTGTGGTTAGCATCTGAGATCAACATTATTTACTAACCTTGATCCTTCTCTATGTTCTGAACTACTCTGTGTGAGCAAGTAGATATAACACAGGCATTGAAGCCTGACACCCATACGGTTAGGTGCCTTCAGACTAATCATTTAACCACTTTAAGTGGTACCTATTAACTGGGTAGGGCCACCTAACTCAGAGCTGTTAGAGAGACTGGGACAATGTACATAAAGTGCTCATGCCTGGACGCAGGAGGCATTTCATAAGTTATAGCTAACATTATCATATTACCTTTAAGGCTACTGATGTTGAAGACGAAGTTGATAATGACATTCCCATTAAAAGAAGGAAAGCATAATATGACACCTTAGGTGGAACTATATGAAATTGATACTCAATTGGCTTTGACCTCCAAACACAACAGCTTCTTTCGGTTTAAGCTAATGCATAATAATGTATTTCATTCAAATCACTTATTGTTCCAGCTTTGGAAATTCTCCCCTTCAAAGATTGCTCCCAGAAACACACTCCTACTACTGGAAACCTTCCTCAGGTCAGTTGCCAGGGTAAGCAAAGCAACAAGTCTGGTGGGGAAGTGGAGGAGCTGGTACCTAGGTCCACTGTTTGATATGTAGTCACACAACCTGTGAAGGCCTCCCTACCTGGAGACTGGGAACGATTGTGAAGAGAGGAGTTAATGGATAGGAAAGCACTTTCAAAAGTTGAAATCATTATAGTAAAGTATTACTAATTCCACTAAACTATGCCATTTCAGAAAACATTAGCATTCAACATTTAACTTTTAATTATATTTTTCTATTAAAAATGGCACATAAAAGAATAGAAAATTCATGCAATCATGCCAAATGGTCATCCAAACCCAACTTGACATTACTCTCAAGCAGATATTTGCAATACTAAGTCAGTATGTAGTGCCTTGTCATTGAAAATCGTACCCCTCAAAACGCAGTCAGTGTGACAACGGAGTAGTGAGAACCGTTGTGTTTACAAGTGTCTCAAACATCAAGCGCTTACATTTATATCAGGAATCACACACAGTAGAAGTGCTCACAAGAAAAATGAAAGAATCCCCTGCTTCCTTCCTTGGGAGTCTTTAAAATGGGCTGGAGAATTTTATTTTGGCGTGGTTTTGCTTAAAGATAGGAATATAAACTTATGACCTCCCAAAGTCATTTTCAGACCAGGGGTTTTAGCGATTCTGAGAAACAACAATTTTCTTTGGCCTTCGAGGGAAGTTCCTTTCGTGAGTCATTAGCCAGGTGATCGGGTAGTAAGGGAGGACGATGTATGTGTTCAGACCAGCTGCCCTCGGAGGTAAGTGTGGCCACATTCCAGCCCAGCTTTCTCCCCGTGCGGTGAATTTTGGCCAACGCAAGGCACCCGGGGAAGGTCCCCTCTAGTCAGCCTCAAAGGCGCTGTTGGTAGCTCCCACGTATTCAGACTTCTTCTTGTGCCTCGCCCACATTTTCCGGAGGATGCTGGGGACCCCGCACGACACGCTCCCGGTCAGTGGCAGGGAGGCTTCTGCTCCCTGGGGGAGGGTTGGATACTCTTCAGCCGTCTTCTTGAGATGTCTGGATCTAAAGAAAGGCCAGGGGTGTGTGGGCAGAGTAGTCACTTCACCGGACCAGACCTTTGCTTTTTATTCCTCCCGTGCTCATACCTCCTGTGACCAGGAGGGAGGCTCACCACTGGGACGTGGGCAAGAATGACTCCGCCTCGGAGATCCCGGAAAAAGGTGAGGGAAGGAGAGGGCCTAGGGCACACTGGTTATGGACCTGAAGTTCTGTTCTTGTCCCAAGTTCCGCTTTCCCACCCCTCCCACCTCTCCTCGAACAATCTTGCTGGGAAGGGTGGATGTCCCAAAGCACTGGCTACGGAAAGAGCATGAGCCCGGGGGTTGAATCCTGCTCTCCGCTTACGTGTGTGACCTCAGGCGGGGGGCTTAACCTCAACGAGCCTCAGTTTCCTCCTGTGCAAAATGGGGCTTTTGTGAGGAGAAAAAATGAGAAAATAAAGCATCTGGCACAATGTAGGCCTCCATAAATGTTCATTTTTCTCCTCACTTTCTCTCCGGGAGAGAAACGGCCTTACTTGTCAGTAGCCGGGGTCCAGGGACAAAATGAAATGAGAATGTCTGAGCTCAGAGAGAAGGGATCCATTTGGAAGCCCTGGCAATGCAGCTGTGTGGGCTGGTAAGTTCCGCCTCTGCTGAGGCGCAGTAACTTTCTGCGGGCCTGCTCCGGCAGTCACCCCAAGTCATGCTGCTGAGAGCAACTGGCTACTAGAACTTAATATGATCCAAATAATTTTCTTAGTTTTTTCCATTAGGTCCCAATATGTGGAATAACTTAGCTTTCATAATTCTTTCTGCATGGCTTCCTTTCATCTAGAAGGGCTTTGCACTGGTATGTTTCTCCTCCCACTCCACGGCGTTCCAGCTGTGCTCCACCCAGTGGTCTCTCACAGACCCGCCTCTAACGTGTTCTCAAGTGCGTATCTTTCCAACTACCGGACTGTAAGTTTCTTGAAAAATTATAGCAACGGTTTGTGCTAAGCTCTTCACACATTATCTCATTCATCCTCATGTCTCGTTTGTTTGTTTTAAACAGATGAGGGCATGGAGGTCTGAATAACTTGCCTGAAGTCATAGCAAGGCAGTGGTGCGCCGGGCAAGCGGCGCCACTTGACTGCTGCCTGCAGCACGAACTGAATTTAAGTTCAGTTAAGTTCAGTTAACTGAATGTCCGCCACCTTCCTAGTGTGCCACTGGAGGCAGTGAGGGGGCCGGTGGGGGGGGGGGGGATTACCTAGTCCTGCAAGCTAGCAGGTGGCTCTGGATCAGAGGAAATAGTAACGTGGGGCTGATACATTTGGTTTGAAACCTTTGTATCTTACATACTTCTTTACCTTTGGGCAGGGGCCCTGAACCTCATTCAGGAGGCACTTCTGACCTCCGCATGCCTGTGGGAAGCTCTGTAAGTGGACTCTGATTACATTGATCTGCTTAACCAAAACTCTTCCAAGTGACAGTTCTCCGGTCTAAAGAGTGGTGTTAATGAAGTGGAAGCCATCAGAAAGGCTCCCTCTTCATCCCAGGGAAACAGTCACCCAGGATGATTGCCCTCATTAAGAGGGAATTTGCAGCTGGCATAGGTTTTGTGTGACCATCTCGAGAGTCTGTCAACGAGGCCACCTGTTACTCTTCTGCCGCTGCACCTGGAGCAGGTGGGGCACCCTGCAGGCAGTGGGCTGGAGGCACAGCACTTACCCTCTTGTCAGAGCAGCTCTGTTCTCTGAGCCTGTGGCTGCCACCTCCAGGACAGCTGTGGGGGCCTTCACCGAGATCCGGGCCACCTGGGGAATCTGGGTTGTGAGGAAGGGGAAGAAAACGTGAGGATATAGCCATGGTCCCAACTCTGGTACAGCTGGAGCCATTTGAAAGGGGGATGGCTAAGCGGAACCACCATCAACCCAGGGCAATGGTCCTTGCACTTGGGTGGGCATCAGACTCCCCCGGGGGGCTTGTTAGCGCCATACTCCACCCACCTGGGTGTCGATTCAGTAGGTCTGACGTGGGCCTGAGAACATGAGTTTCTCGCAAGTTCCTAGGTGCCCGCTAGTACTGGCACCACTCTTTGAGAAGAAACTCGACAGAGAGCAGCTCAGTCTTACCTGAGAATTTTGTCCCCCTCACACCCCCATTGTCTGTGCCTCCTTTGTTGTCAAATCGTGCAGGTTCTTATTTTGAAATATTGCCTCAATTTCTGCCATCCTCTCTGCTTCCTCTGCTGCAGCCTTCAGCAGGTCACTTGGGGCCTCCTTGCGGCATGCCCCACCCCAGGCCCCTCCTGGATTTTCGGGGCATCCCAACTTAGGGGCAGACGGAGGTCACCTCTGCAGCCTGCTCTTCAAGCCCCCTCAAAGCCGACTCCACCTATCTCTGCAGCTCTGCCTTCTGTCACCCCCACGGGTACCAGCAGTCCCAGTCCCAGCAGGGCCACGCCTGCCTTTCCCAGTGCTCATGCCCAGTCCCACATCTTCTCCAGGCTTTTCTTTCCCTCTCTGGATTGTGCCTTGTTGCTGCCGGCCCTTCAAGCCCACTTCCTCCAGGAAGCCTCCCTCAGGCTGGTGGCCCAAATTGATTTCTCTCTGTCCTTACATCCCCACAGCACTGCCTGACTGTGACATGTTTTAGCACCTATCAATTCTGTCTTTTTATGGTTCTCTACTTGTTTTGTATGTTTGTCCATTTTTCTAGTCCCCAGAAAGGCGCTCAGTGTATGGCAGGGCCCCAGGACTTACCCCTTGGTGGCTCCCTTCAGCTTTGCTAATGGAGGTGGTGAGTGCTCAAGACACATGTTCTGAAGTGAAAATTAACTGATGGCCTAACCTGGGCCCAGTCCAGAGGCTGCCCTGACAATGGATATGCTATGCTTTGTTCCTCTGCCCCAAGGCCCACTGAAGATTTAAGGTCACAGTATTCCTGGAATTACTGAGAAATTCCAGGTGGAGGACAGCATGGTTCACCTCTCCCCTCTCTCCTGAACTGGCCAGAGGTCATGTGCAGAGTTACTGTGCCACCTTGTGGTCTCTTGGGAGCTCACCCTTCCCATCATGCCAACTGTGGGGGAAACCTACACCACCCACCTTCTTCCCCACTGTCCAGAGTCTGACGTCCTTTCACGCATCTCAGTGTTGAATCAGACTTAGCTGTGTAAGCTCTGGATTGTTCTCCAGCCTCTGATGAGCTGCAGCACCCCAGCCCCACTGTCTGAGGCCCAGAGGAAAGGGTCACTTGTCCCATCCTTTCCCACTGTGTGGATTTCCTAGGGTAGGGATGACTTAGATAAGATTCTTAGGTTGGATTTCCTACTCAGACCAGGCACAAAGTGCTCACAATTCTGTACAGTTTGTTCCGTAAGGACAAGGGGCTGGGCCAGACAATCTGTAGGATCTCTCTCTCTGTTCTCACAGGCACAATCCATGCGTCATGAGGGCTGATACTCATTGAACACAAGGAACCCGCACCAACCTCACCTCCAGCCGAGACCCCACCCCTGCTGTGCTAATTAGGGGGTGCCCAAGTTCATGCTCAGAAGGAGATGAAGGAGCTCCTTCAGGTCTGTCTCAGCTGCAGAAGGGCCACATTGTCCGAGGTCACAATATTTTTCCTGGGGCACTCCACACGCCGTGACAGTGTGAGGAGGGAACAAGGACCTGGCCATTTGGCCCCAACTGGAAACAACCCAGGTGGGCAACGCTCGCCCCAGAGCTCTCACCAGGAGGGGTCGGGCCTGTGTGGCAGTGTCACAGGTACTGATTCCTACAGCACATCTCTAATACTCACCCCAGATCTCAAGTCGGCTCCCAGAGCACCTGAGCTGGAGCAGATGCCTCCTAGACACGTCTCGCCCTGAGATGACTGGCGCTTTGTGTTTCCACAATGCTCTGTACCCTTTCCATCTCTTTCCCCCTGCAACTGCCTTTGGGAATTGGTCAGGCATTTCCACTGGACAGGGACCAGGCATAAAACATTTCTTTGCCCCCATGTTTGAGATGTCTGCTAAGTAACACCTTCTTCTGTTTGCCTAAGAGCTGAATCTGGCAAGAAAGACAGCAGCCACCGGTGGCATGCTGCAAGGTGACAGATGGTAAGAGCAAGAACCCTCAGAAGTGGCCCGAAGGACACTCAGGCTCATGTCGTGGCACAGACCGGGTGCAGCAGACACAACGCCCCAGGCTTAGGTACTCACCAGAGACTTTCCATAGGCTCGACTCCCACACAGGTTTGATGGCTTGGGCTCGGCAATCCCCCCTGCAGAGGTGAATGGAGGACACACTGCTCAGTGCCCCTGTGCTGCCTCCCTTGGGTCTGCATCGATTTTCAAAGCCAGGGATTTATTTCTGTCTTTTTAAAAAATTATCTTTGATATATCTTTTTATTTTTAAATTACAGCTTATAGTCAATATTATTCTGTGTTAGTTCCAGGTGTACAACATAGTGGTTAAAAAACCATGTACTTTACCGAGTGGTCCCCCCAGTGTTTCAAGTACCCACCCAGTCCCATACGAACATATCACAGGACTATTAGCTGTATCCTTTATGCTGCACTTTATATCCTGTGACTTTCTGTAACTGCCAATTTGTACTTCTTAATTCCACCATCTTTTCCACCCAGTCCCCCAAAGCCCCTCCCCTCTGACAACTGTCAGTCTGTTCTGTTTCTAATTCGTTTGCTTATTTTGTTCTTTAAGTTCGACATATAAGTGAAATCATATGGTGTTTGTCTGACTTATTTCACTTGGCATCATGCCTTCTAGGTTCATCCATGCTATCATAAAAGGTAAGATTTCATTCTTTTCCACGGCAGGTTGGGAATTTCTAAAGGCCTTGTACCAAGCAGCAGAATTGAGCAGTAGAATCAGTAGCAGGGTGACTGCTGAGGGGGGGTCACTTGCACCCCTGGCACTCGTCCAGGGGGCAAGACCTAAGGTCTAATAAGTAGGTGCTCAGAGAATGTGGCCTCAGCATTGCCTTTCTTCCTAAGGTGCCAGATCACAGAGGTTATCAGGAATGAAATCTTTAGGGCTTGGATCAATTATTTACCTTTGTGCTCCTGGACACCCCTCTTCGAAAATGAGCAGAGAAGTTCTGCCTGTGGTGGGAAGCACTGGATCCTAATGTGGAGTAATTGCAGAGTCCTGAACATTGGCTACCCGAGAGGTTCCTGAGAACCTTCTTGCTATGACTTTACTCCCAGGGCCCGACCTGCTTCTGGGTAATTTCTACTCTGAAGCCTGCGGCTTCTGAGAATCCAGGTGCTGAGTTGAGGGAGCTGGCACCAGGCAGGAGGGTGAGGGTAGGGGGAGATGGCTTTCAATGTCGTCCTCCCCTGGGACAGACATTCCAGGACGAGCCCTGTCCTATCACACTTGAGCATATAGAAGTAAAGCACCCTCACCCCCAGGAAAATATCTCCACACCAGTTAGACAAAGTCACAAGACTGCCAATATCAAACAGTGATGTACAGTGCCCTGGCAAAAATAATATAGCAGCTCATCTTTTTGAGTATTTACTGTGTCAGGCACAGTGCTGGGTATAAAACACACATGTTATCTGATGTGATCCTTACCACAACTACCCAACAGGTAGTTGTCATCATAGTTTCCATGTTCTAGATGACAGTCCTGAGGCTTTAATAAGACATAACAATTTCAATGAAGACAGCAAACAGTCTGCTTTGGTCTTACAGGGCTGGAGAGGCTAGACCTGGGGACCCTGGCCCAGTCTGGGAGGAGTTTGCCAGGCGAACAGACCCAGAGAGGGCAGTCTGCAGAGAGAGGAGTGTCAGCGAAGGCCCAGGGAAATGTTGTAGAAGGGAGACGTCACAGGATTGCACAGCAGCTCAGGGTCACTCTGTGCATGGACTGGCAGGGACAGGAGTGTCACAGGAGGTGGCCCTGGAGACATCAGCACAGGACAGGTCCTGGGGGGGCCTTGGTCATGGCACAAGTGATTTGCAGGTGGCGATGACAGTGTTTAAAGAAGAATGGCAGAGGCAGATTTCAGCCTTAGAAGGACCCTTCTGGTAGCCTCATGGAGGGAGCGGGACTGGTGGCTGAGGGCCAGGGTTGGCTGCTATACATGAGGGATGATGAAGGGTCACCGAGTCCAGGTAGCTCAAGAGAGGTTCCAAGAGGGAGGAGTGAGATGTGTCCAGGAGTCAACCCTGCAGTGTTCAGTGTGTGAAGTGGTGGGTAGGGTGGGGTCGGGGAGGGAAGGCATATAGAGGGAAACACCCGTGGCTTACAGGGAAGTTGGATAGCAGCCCCAACTGAGAAAGGGAGAGAGGTCTGAATGAGGAAGATGAGCTCCATTTGAAAAAGTTGACTCTGAGGTGCCTGAGGACATCTTGGTAAAGAGGTTCCACTAGTGACCAGTTCTCCCAGGCCCGGGGGGGGGGTGTCTCCTTTCCAGGCACCTGAGGTTCACCTGCTGTGTTGAGAGCATTTCTCAGCTGGGCCTCTGCCTTCAGAATCCCTACAATTTCCAAGATTGTTCGGAGAATCTTTCTCCCATGGGAGGAGGCTACAACATCCAGGAGCTGTCTCCTGTAGCCCAGAAAAGAAACAAGTCCCCAGATCTGAGGTCCCTGGAGACACACGTCCTCTGACAAGAGGATGGAAGACGATGCCTGCTGATGGCTGGTGCCAAGCCTTCCTGTGGAGAGCCCTGGGTCTGGCTCTGCTTCAGAAGCCCACCCTCTCTTCCACCTCCTCTAGAATCTATCAGATTCCAGGAGCTGACGGTTGAACCAATGCCTGGCTCAATCTTTCCTTTTTTTCCTTCTAAACCTGTCTAGCACATTCCTTGCATGAGCTGACTGTCACATGTTGGGCAGATTCTCCCCATTTCATAACTTATTGTTCTCCTCGTTCAGAATAAAAGACTGACTTGGTCAGTTCCAACTTCTATTAGCTACTTAGAAAGGAAGGAAAGTGTCCCCTAAAATGAGACAGTTGGGAAGACATTATTCTCTGTGGGGAAGAGGTGTTCACTAGGAAATCAGGAGATCTGAGATTTAATCTCAGTTTTGTTGCTAACGAGCAGTGCGACCTTGGGTAATTCACAGTTTCCATGGTTTCCGTTTCCTCTTCTGTAAATTGGCAGTGGTGGGTGCAATAAATCGGTGGTTCTCTACCTTCTATGGGCATTGGGATAAGCTGGGGGGGATTAAAACACAGATGGTGTGTCCCACCCCAGCATTTCTGATTCACTAAATCTCAGGTGGGGCCCAATATTTGCAATTGTAGCAAGTGCCCAGGCAATTCTGCTGCTCTGAGGACCCCACTTTGAGAACCACCCATTAAATCATCGCCAACCAATTTGTTGTCCTCAGACCAACATCCTCAGCATCATCTAGACGCTTATTCGAAACAAAATCTGGGGCCATCCTTGGTCTTACTGAATTGGAATCTGTATAACAAGATTTCAGGTGATGCTTTTGTATATTTCACTTTGAGAAACATGGCTCTAAATTTACTTTATGATTTTGTAGTGAAGATATTCTCTTTTTCTCTCTTCTACACACACACATGCACCCACCCACTCACCTATATATAGACAGAGAAAAATTTGTCTCCTCTTAATTTGCAAGGCAGATTGTGGTTTTCCTAATGCTTTCATTCTGCATATATATGTATATGTGTAATCACCTAACTAAAGAATGTAGATTGCTTTATGCATTCCTCTAGTAGGATCATAAAAAGAGGATCAGGGTGACAGTGATTAAGGAACTTTAGAGAAGAACAATGGATGAAGGGACATACTCAGTGGAGTTCTGTTTCAGTTCTTATAACATACAAAATTGTTGACACGCCAAAGCTTTGCGAAGGATATCCCAGACATTCCATTGTGTATTTTTGGAGATAAAATATGAATAATTTTAGGCTGTGGGCATAACAGACATAACCTAAACTAGCAATTAAAGGCAAAATACCATCACAGATTTCAGCAGCTAGAGGAAGACGCATGCTGGATTGCTTGAGGTAGAAGCCATTTATAAACATAGTGTAAAAGGTAAAACCATACTGTTTCCAGGCTTTGAAACAAATTTGTCACAAAATTCTTTTTATAGAGTGTTGAACTAGCCTAAGTCATTTAAATTTAAGATGGGGAGATTTTAAGATGGTGGTTTGTAGAGCGTCTGTATAATTTCACACACACTGCCTATAGAATAAACGACATAGGCTTCTTCTACTTTCTGAGTCATGACTACACAGGGTTTCTCTCCCCTGAAACATAAGGGCTTCCATCTCCTCCTGAATTCAGCAGGGCTTCCTGTGGACAAGATGGTAGATGGAAGCATCTTTGCTCTCTACACACACCAGCAGCGAGTTTTACAGGTCGAAGGCGTTGTGGGGACTGCTGGAGATAGGGTCTGAGAGCCGGTGCACTGAGAGTGGGGGCAGCATGCGTGGGGGAAGTGAGTAGTCCCCATGCCACAGGTGCTCTGCTCACCTGCAGTGACCAAGGACACTAGGGAGGACTGCGATGAAGTCAGATAAGACACAAGCCAGGATGCAGACACTGGTGGCTGCTCTGAGTGAGTCATTGTCTCCCAGAGAGGTACCGGGAACAGGTCAGGCCAGGGCACACATACCTGGTCTGGCGGGGGTCTTGGCAGGGTGGAGTCCCTGCTGCCATGAGCTCTGCAGCCGACCAGACCTGCGGCCCTCGCTGTCGTGGCGGTCACTGCGGTGCGGCAGCAGCTCCAGGGGCCGGGAAGAGTACAGGTCCGACTCGATCACCACCTGCCGGGAGGAGGAGAGAGGACAGTCAGCTTCTTGCCCAAATCACATGCAGGGATCCGGGGTCCAGGCCGGGACTGCAGCTTTGTTGATGGACAGTGTACCGACAAGCATGTTTTGGAGTCCTCCTTACTTCACTGAATGCTAGAAACGGTGAAAAAAAAAACATGGGTAAATTGGCCAGAAACAGCTGTTTTAGGAACGTCCGATCATACAAGGTGCAATGGTACAGGAAAATGAGAGCTCCAGGGTCCCTCGCCAGCAGCCCCGTCACAGAGTCAGGAGTCCGGGCCATCAGGCCAAACATCAGGGCTGGTCATCTGCGTTCTGGCCTGACGTGGTTTGACAACAGGACAGGTTATTTGAAATGAGGATAGTCCTGGAATCTGGGGTCTTACAGTCTTAGCAGCTAGGTGGGCACCCTTGTTCCTGGTGAGAACAGCTTTTTTGGGGAAGAGGAGCAAGCAGAGTAAGACTTAGGGAGAGGACTTGGGGCCCAAGCTTGATTCGCAGATTTTTAAAAAGAAAGAAGCTACTGGCAAGACAGCAGGCACAGCTCTGGAATGTGCGAGTCACCTCCGCATCTCAGAGCGCCTGTGCCGGGCAGAGCTGGGGGTGAATGCCCCTATGCATGGTTCTGTCGGAGGAAATCCTGGCGAACCAGAGCAGAGTGCCGAAGGCTAGGTCGCTGACTGTAATGACCACTTGCTGAATAGGTATTTTTGGAAGTACACGAAGGGGAAATACCCCTTTTGTCAGGGCCCACCAGAACGGACCTTAAAAATTAGAACAAAATACTTAAATCATTGAAAGTTGAAATGTAAAATTTTGAGACAAATAATATCTTATTACGTAGGGTGACAAAAGGAAACTTAGCCGTTTTGGGCTCCTATCCTGCATATTTTTAGTCTTATCCTGGACACTGGAGTCATTCATTTTGGACTTCTTACTCCTTTGAAGCTGGTTGGAACCTCTGATATCACACAGCAGCCGCTCTGAGGTTTGCATTCGCTGGTGCGTTTGTTCCTTCCTTCCCTCCGCAGACACCCTGCGAGGACGTGTTCTGAGCCAGATCCTGGGCACATGGTGCGGCTGCGAGTGAGGTGGACCCGTCTCAGCTCTGCAGACTAGCTTTCCACCGAACCCCTTCAATTGTCCTCACACACAAATGGTGTTACTTTTGGAGGATGTGAAGCAAAAAAGGTTAAACTTTTAAATATCATAATAGGGTGATATTTCAATTGAGTGGGGGAAATTAAAGCTCTAACAGATATTGTTGGAATAAATGTCAAGCCATTGGGGCAAATGGATTTCTGTCTACATGTCTCGTACCCAAATGAATACCAGACAGGTCAAAAAGATGCATGTTTAAAAACAACAGTCCCGCCCTGGCTGGCGTAGCTCAGTGGATTGAGCGCGGGCCTGTGAATCAGAGTATCGCAGTTCAATTCCCAGTCAGGGCACATGCCTGGGTTGCAGGCCAGTTCCCAGCAGGGGACGCATGAGAGGCAACCACACATTGATGTTTCTCTCCCACTCTTTCTCCTTTCCTTCCCCTCTCTCGAAAAATAAATAAAGAAAATATTAAAAAAAAAACAACAACAGTCCCCCCGCCAAACCTCAAACACTACAATATGGTTTAATATAACATTTGTTATTTACAAAGGGCAGTTATCCCTATGAACATAGAACTCTTACAAATCAATAAGAAGAAGATTATTAAAAAATGGCTCGAAAAACATGATCTGGCAATTGACAATAAATATATGAATGGCCAATGCATGAAAAGATGAATGACATTAAAAATTAAATAAATTAAAACAGCACTTTCTTTCTCTCCTATCAGATTGTCATTGATGAAGAGACTTGTTTGGGTTCAGGCAGACCTGAGTTCAGGCCTGAGTTTCGACATGTGGTTCTGTGGGAAGTGGAGACCCTTGTCTGCCATCACTGTCCTGGGGCACAGCCAGTGCCTGTTCTTAGTAGAGGTTTTAATAGCACAGCCCACTCTCATTCTTTTAGTTCATCCACAGGTAGGGGTGTGGAAAAACAGGTTTACTGTTGTTTGAATGGGAAAATACAAGTGAATACATAAGCACATAATAACAAACTGTGTTTCGCATACTCACAACTACAAAGCTACTTTGCCTGCCCTTGTATTTATCTATAGTGTCTGAGAGTGGTTCACGTTTCCCCCAAAGGACAATACCACAAGGCCAGCTTTCACTCTTTACCTCAGTTTACCACAAGCAGTTCTTTGCTTAGAAAATTAATATATCCCAAAGTTTGTCTTATCTGGGGAAGGAAATTAACTCTTGTTAGGCCCATTTTAGGATCCAGACTTATTCATTCTGTGCCTTTGGAGAAAGCTGATAATTCAGGAACATTCAGGATTAGTCCTTGTTATTAGTCCCTGTTATTATTCCCCTCCAGGCACTGCAGAAGGTGCTGTTCCTGCTTGCAGCAGGCCTTCAGTGCAGGAGCAGGGCAGGGTGGGTACCACCCCGACTGGACGCCAGCTCATTTGGTCTGCGAGGCACAGCAGTGGGTGGTCTGGCACTCAGCACCCTGCACACACCCTCCTCGGCTCTCCTCCTTCCCTTCCTTTTAGCATTGAGCTCTGTCATGATGTTGCCCAGAACACTGGAATTTTCTGGAGTAATGCTGGTTCAGAGTCCCATTTCCCTGGACACATGGACTATTTGACCTAAGGGCCCTCCTCCAGAATATGAATCTCTGGGCTGAGTAGGAAAGACTTAAGATGGTTGTGGCCTCCTGACAGCCTTGTTTATATTCTGGTCTTGCTGCTGCTTGTGGTGGTCTTAGAACAAACCAGCCTGAGAGTAGGCTTTTAGCACACTGAGCACAGGGGAAGGTGGGGAACTGGTAGCAGCGGGTTGGGTGTACTAACAGGGAGTTGGAAAGGCAGGTGAGATGTAGGTGATGAAGAATCATCATGTTGGGGCTGATGGGAATTGTTCTAGCCCAACTCCCTAACTGTCCATGCAGGGAAACTGTGGCCAAGAGAAACCGTGTGCTTTCAAGGTCACAGAGTTGGCAGGGTCAGAGCCAGGACAGGAACTGTGGTTTTATGACTCCTGAGTGTTCTTTGTCAGACCCACAGAAGTGCCTACATCCAGATAAGAATTTTCCAGGGCAGGCCCTGGCTGGTGTAGCTCAGTGAATTGAGCGTGGGTCTGTGAACCAGACAATCGCGGTTCGATTCCCAGTCAGGGCACATGCCTGGTTGCAGGCTGGTTTCCTGCAGGCCAGTTCCCAGCAGGGGATGCACGAAAGGCAACCGTACATTGATGTTTCTCTCCCTCTCTCCTTCCCCCCTTCCCCTCTAAAGATAAATAAATAAAAAAAATATTTAAAAAAATGTTTAGTGTAAAAAAAAAAAAAGAATTTTCCAGGGTAGTTGATTGCTCAGTGCCTTTTGAAAAATCAGCAGATCACCAGACCAGTCTCTCCCCTGCAAGGCTGAACTCCGAGGAGAATGTGACATTTGCAGTCTCATTTCTCCATCTTTCCTGCCGGTGGCCCTGCTGTTTATGAATGCCAGTGGCAGGGCCTCCACTGACCCACACCTTCACGTCAGTTCATTCCTTTCAGCTACTCTTATAATGCAGGTGGCATCAGGGTGACCAGCATGGCAATAAAACTGCCTGAGAATCCAAGGGGAAAAAAGACTGTCTAGAGAAGGAACAGTATGTACTGTGCCCTGAGTTCAAACAGAAAAAAAGTGGAACTTAGGAGGAGTCCAGAGAGAGGGGAAACTGTGACACTAAGGCTGGGGCAGAAAGGAAAGAAATATTGGTAAAGGGAGGAACCTGACATCCACATAGTAGCCAAAGGACTGATACTAGACACAAATAAGAAATTCAGGACAAAGAAAGTCATAAATATTTGTCCATTAGAGCAGTTGCAAAATATGAACCATTTTCTCGGGAACTCAAGGGAAGCCGAGAGCCAGGGGGATGAGGAAACGAAATGAGCACCAGCTCTTCTTTGGGACCCCTCTCCCCAGCCGAGGGGGACTGAGAGATCTTTTCCGTCTTTTCTAATTTGAATGTTCTGTGCAGCTGGGGCTGAGTTTTATAAGCAAAGGATGAGTCAGGCTGTGAGGGGAAATCAGAAATTCAGACAGCTCAAAGGCCAGAGGGCATTATGAAGCTGTTTCACCTGGGGGACGACTGCATATTTGAAGACAAGATCCTAGCTTCTGATTTTTAAAAAATCCTCACCTGAGGATATGTTTATTGATTTTAGAGAGAGAGGAAGGGAAAGGGAAAGAGAGGGAGAGAGGGAGGAAGGGAGAGAGAGAAAGAGGAAGAGAGAGAGAGGGAAAGAGGAAGAGAGAGAGAGGGAAAGAGAGAGAAACATCATCGATTGGCTGCACCCCATATGCAGCCCAAAGGGGGATCAAACCAGCAACCTTTTGGTGTATGGGGTGATGCTCCAACCAACCGAGAACCCAAACAGAGCTTCTTCTTCTTTTTTCAAATCAAAAGCAATTTTATATGCATTCAGATACTTGAGTCATTTTTGTCTCTGAGTAAAAAATGTTTTAGAGAGAGAAATCCATAAACCATAAACATAGCAGTCTTGCTCAGAAATGTCCACTTCTAGAAAACCTGAGAGCATAGTTTCACAGTGCCTGGCTGAAGTCGGTCGGATATTGCAGGAGGCTGCGCTTTGCATATCTTATGTTCATGGGGCTTCACCTCCATCACTGAGCATTTTCTCCTTCGTTTAGGTTCTAAATCCCCCAAGAATTTTTTCCCCAGGACCCTAGAAAGTACAGTGATTTTGTTTCCATTTTAAAAGTTTTTGTGACCATTGTTCTGTTCTTATAAAGCCAGGAGATATTGGTATAAGGTGTAATTCAGACAGGAACAGTGTTTAAGTTTAGAAATTCAAGGCAAGAACTTGGTTGAGGACTACATATTCCTAACTCCCTTGGATTGTTGCCAACTCGTGAATGATCCGTGGCTCTTTCAAATCCAAGGTAATGCCAAACTCAAGGCCTTGACTGAAATGTCGCTTATGAAGCTTTTCTTAAATTCTAACTTACCTACAAACAACTGCTTCCCTTACCATTTTTGTAATATTCACTGCTCCTTAAAAGTCAGGAGCAATTTTTTACTAGAATGTGGGCTTAGGTTTTCAGGGGCTATTACAATGAAGTAATTTTCTTGCCCTACAACAAGGAAATTTTTCATCCATTGACATTCCTTCTCTTTCTTAATGTATAAAATATTTACAGATATTATTTAAAAAAGATATACAACTGACAAAAAAAAAGGCAAAAGACATGAATAAAGAACCCAGAGTAAAAAAAAATAAAATTTATAAAAAGTAGAGAAATGGTACTAAAGAAATACAAATTAAAACGATAAGATACTTTCACCTAGTGGATTGTGGAAGATTATCAACACTGTTCCCATACAGTATTGGCTCAGGTGTGCTGGTAAAGCTACTTTTAAAACGTAGTTGTTTAGAATTTGGCAATGGCTACATTATTTTTCCAATGTTCATATCCTTTGAGCATTTTCTGTTTTTTAAAGATTTTATTTATTTATTTTTAGAGAGAGGGGAGGAAGAAAGAGAGAGAGAGAGAAACATAGATCGGTTGCCTCTCACATGCCCCCAAACAGGGACCTGGCCTGCAACCCAGGCATGCGCCCTGATTGGAAATTGAACTGGTGACCTCTTAAGGGTTCTCAATCCACTGAGCCACACCAGCCAGGGCCTGTTGTTTTTTCACCTGGGACTATTTAATTGACGTATAAATGTGTAAATTTAAGGAGCTGATTTGATAACACAGAAATTTCTTATCTATGAATGTATCCTTAAAATATTTGCATAAGAATATAAAAATTATATTCAAGTATATTTCTTCTAGCATTGTTTTTAAGTAGAAAGACAATTTAGTTAAATAAGAAAACTTCAGATTTGGTTTGGATTAAAAATTATGGTACATCCATACAATGACATACCATGCAGCCTTTATAAAGAATGGGATTAGTAAAAAAAGAAAGTTGCCAAATAGTATGTTATCTGGCAATATAGTACATTTGTTAGTATATAGGGAATTTTCACTTAAAAATTACCGGTGTTTATTGAATGCTCAGCATGCATCAGGTTTAGGATGTAGTACTTCACAGGTATCAGATCATTTGCTCCTTCTAATGGTTCTTTTTGTTTTAAAGACTTTATTCATTTATTTTTAGAGAGGGGGAAGGGAGGAAGAAAGAGAGAGAAACATCAATGTGTGGTTGTCTCTTAAGCGTCCCCTACTGGGGACCTGGCTGGCCCACACCCAGGCATGTGCTCTGACTGGGATTGAACCCCTGATCCTTTGGTTTGCAGGCCGGCACACAATCTACCGGGCCACACCAGCCAGGGCCCAATGGTTCTTAAGATATGTACTTTTTATCCCCATTTTAATGCTGAGGAAGTAGAGTCCCAGAATGGCTGGGCAACTTGTCCAAGGTCAGAGAGCTAGAAATGGATGGGAGTGGAGTTTAAGCCCAGGCAGCTCAACTCTAAGTCTACATACCTACCTACTGTGTTCCACAGCTTCCCAGGGTTTATTAATACTATATCATATATCTTAATCAAGTTTCAAATTTCATAATGGGCACATACTGCTTTGGATATTAAAAAAGTAATAAATGTACATAAAAACAATGACTAACATACCATCTCTTTCTGAGGACACTTAAAATTGTTTTTTAATGGAAAATATATTTTTAAACATTGATATCCTTGGGAAATCAAAATGCTGCTCTATGAAAAAATTGTTATTGAGATAGAAACTCCAGTATAACCAAGAGGAACCAATTAGCAGTTAAAATGAATCTTTTAAACTCAAGTACAAAGTTGTATTGACAGCTTTTATATAAAGAAATCTGTAAGTAAAATGAGAAATTCGCAGCAACATTAGGTTCTAAAGACATGCAAGCTGATTTTATGGTAATGCATGTGCTTATTAAAGTAGCAAAACTACAAACACCAGTGTTGGTGAGGTTGGAGGTGAGTGAAAATGCACCGCTGCACGCCTGGCAATTGCTCAGAATTCCTGGTCACATGGGACAAAACTGTAAGCAGAAACTAGTTTTAAAAATTACTGTATTTCTCTCCATCTAGCTCAGTGTCTCTTACACATAATAGGAATCTAAATATTTGATGGATGGATGGATAGATGCGTAGATTAAACTATTCTTATCCTTTTACTTGTTAATTCTTCTCTGAGGCCTCTGTACCAAGGAATTAATCCAAAAAAATTGTATTTTGTACAGATAAACTCATTGTACTGCTATTTATAGTGGTGAAAAAATAGAACACTGCAAAGGCCAACAATAGGAGAATACCTAGGTCAGGGATGCTATACCCACATTGTGGACTCTGTTTAAATAAGAAAGAAAGTATACACAAAACAATATTTACTCTCCATAATATGGCAGAATAGAGGGGCCTGATTCAGAGTTGGGTGCTGTCTGGTTGACATTATGTCAATTACTTTGGTTAAATAGAGGAGGAAAAGTGCAGCAACAACAACATGAGTTATAGAAAACCTTCCTGGTTATATCGAAAGCAGAAGAGAAAGATGTAGGGCCCTGGCTGGGTAGCTCAGTTGGTTACGGCATCATCTCAATACACCAAGGTTGTGGGTTCAACCCCTAGCCAGGGCACATACAAGCATTAACCAATGAATACGTAAATACTGGTAAGTGAACAACAAATTGATGTTTCCCTCCCCCTCTCTCTTTCAAATCAATAAATAAAAATTTAAAAAGCAAGAAGCTGGACATTGCTTTTTTTTTTAAATGAAAGTCAATAAAGAGATCAAAAGTAAAGTTTCCTTACATTCTTACTCAAGAGGTGTTGAGAGCTTTTGACTCTTCTTCTGGCTGGACTGGACACTGCAAAGAGAGACAAAGGAAACGTTTTAGAGAATACCCGTGAGGCTGACATAGCAACAGCAATAAGACTGAGAGGCTTTGAACCAAGAGGGGGCAAGGGCACAGAGAAGGGGAAAAGGGAAAAAGAGGCAGGGTGCAGTTGCAGTTTTAGACATTACTTGGTCGAGAGCACCAAAGTACACAGCAGCATATTCACAATAGCCAGAAGGTGGAAACAACAACAACATTTGAGTCCATCAATAGCTGATAGATGAAATATGTTCTATGCATTCAATGGAATATTATTCATTCTCAAGAAGGAATGGAATTCTGATACAGGATGTATGAACAATTGAAGATATTAAGCTAAGTGAAGTAAGCTAGACACAAAAGGACGAATATTGTATGAGACCACTTGTATGAAATACCTAGAGTAGTCAAATTCATAAAGACAGAAAGTAGAAGTTACCAGGGGCTGGGAAAGAAGAAATAGGGAATTATTGATTAATGCACAGATTTTCAACCAGGGTGCTGCAAGAATTTTTTTAAAACAATTTTATTTATTTAGATAGAGGGGAAGGAAGGGAGAAAGAGAGGGAAACATCAATGTGTGGTTGCCTCTTGTGCACCCACACATTGGGTGCACCCCAGCTACTGGGGACCTGGCCTGCAACCCAGGCATGTGTCTAGACTGGGAATTGAACCAATGACCCTTTGATTTGTAGGCCAGTGCTCAATCCACTGAGCCACACTAGCCAGGGCAAAATTTTTAAAACATGCAATACCTGACTACCTAGCCAGGGTCACTGACAACAACCAACATAACAGTAGCCATCCACTGTGAATGTCCTGTCTTGAACCATAAATATATAGGTCATATAATAAAGTTGCATCTTCTTAGACATCGCATAATAAGATTGCATTTGATCGGTTAATTCTTGGTAACAAAAATCCTTATATAAAAGTATAGGTACCTAATTTTTAAAAAGTCACTTTGGTGCAAAATGGGTAGTTAATTACTATTATTATTGTAAATCAATCAAAATTATATGCACTTTATCAGATTGGCAAAAAACATATCTTTTCAGCCATGGAATTCTAATAATTAGTTTACGTGTGCTATGAGATGAAAGAAGGCTGAAAATCACGGGTTTACTGGGTGCCGAGTTTCTGTGAGGAATGAGGGAAAGGCTCTGGAAATGCAGAGTGGTGACGGCTGCAGTACAGTTTGAGTTTTTTTAACGCTGCCAAACTGTATACTTAATGTGGTTACCTGATAAACTCTATGTCTTGTATATTTTACCACACACACACAAAGCTTAAAAATCAATGAACTATAAAAAAGCACTTGGTTGGGAAAGGTGTGCCTTTTGTTGAAATGGAGAGACCCCGGCACTTTTTCCTACACTGCTGTTAGTATGATTCTCTTGGAACTGAAATCCCACCCTGTCACTTCCCTGCCTAGAACGGGAAGGACTCCTTGTCACCTGTCAGATCTGTGATCTGGTGAGTGCTGAGTTGCTGTCTTCTTCAGAGCACCTGCAACCACGACACCACTCCTCCAGGTTAGCAGGCTTGGCTCCCCACTCCTTTCACTTAGGTGTGAATCTGAACTTGACCACTTGCCAGTTACATAACTTGGGCAAATTACTCATCCTCTCTCAGCCTCACCTTCTTCATCTATACATTAGGGGCAATAACAGCACTTACCTCAGAGGGCCATGGTAAAGTTTAAGGGAATTGATTTGGATAAAGCCCTTGGCTTATCACCTGGTGAAGAGTGAGTTCTCAGGAGTTAATAGTGGTCATTATGATTTTCCCCTTTCTCTACAAGATGAGGAATAGTGGAAGGAATAGATGGTAATTTCTAAAGACTGCAGCATCCCATTAGAATTTCTCTTTCAGGGGTTTTCTCCATTTTCTCTTTCCCCTCACTAACCCCTCCCCATCACTGTTTATCCCCAAGTAGATTATTTTGAACACTGTGGTACTATTCACCCCAGAATCAAACCCACTCTCGTGTGTCTCAGGAAATAGCTTCTGGTATAACTTCTTGGTAAAACCACAGTTTTTATCTTTTGTATTTACCATAAATTGTGTTCATGAAATCTTTCTCTTAGGTTTCTCTTTCTCTGGAAAGTAAAAATACACAATTGTCCTCAGTTATAGACTTGATCTATGTCCTATGCCTTTAAAATACTTAAGAAACACCATAACATTTACTATGGCCACATTTTTGTGAGATATTCAGATGGCTCAGCTAAAAATATATATAGCTATTAGTTTGGACCCAATACAAGTATATTGGAAAGACGAATATAATACAACAATAATAAATGTTTCCCACTAAGCTTACTAGGTGGATGGCTTATTTGCCATATCTTAGTCATGCCTCCTAGCAGCTCTGCAAGGTAAGTACTCCTCATTTTATACATGGGGATACTGAGGGTTAGGGTCACACAGCCGATGGTGAAACGAGGCCTATTCTCTTAACCACTAGGCCATGCTGCCCATATGGCTGAGCTCGTTGCTCTGAAAATGTTCTGGTTATTGCCCATTGAATAAACATGGCTAAACAGTAGCATTTGAGAAAGGGCCTTTCAGGCAGGACTATAACCCTTGTTAGATAAAATCAAACCAACCTATATTCCTGCAGTTAAAAAATGTGAGGACATGATGGTTTCCAATCTCTCTCATAAGTGGGGATGTGAGACAAGCTGGCACAGGCTTCCCTCAGTGAGGGCCCTCAGCCTGATGGCTTTGGAGAAGCAAGGTGGGGCAAAACAAAAAGAAGGAAGAGGCAGACTCTTCCCATTTCTGGCCTAATATAAACTGCAAACACTCTTTTCCTAGAGAACAACTTCCGGAGCAGTGAAATGTGCATGAGTGTCGATGACTACTTGGCTTAACACCATGAGATGGCCGCAAATAAAAATGGCAAGAAAGGAATATGGATTAAATATCTATCTTTGATCAAACATAGTCATTGCTATAAATATGAAATAAAAATAGAAATCACTAAGTGATATATTTAATGGTGCTTATTACATGCCAGGTACCATGCTAGATGCTTTACATATGTTACCTATATTTTATTTTTCCCTCATAATAACCCTGGCAGGTAAGTTCTAGTTTTCCCTTTTACAAAAATGAAAACTCAGGCCCAGAGAGGGTAAGTAGCCCATCTAAGATCACTCAGTGTGGAAGTGGCAGCAGTCTCTTGACCACCATGCTAAGTACATGGAGTTAAAAGCCCTCTTTGGAATTATTTTATTCAGGTGGAGTGTGACATTGCTGCTGAACTGCATAATTTTTTTAAAAAAGCCATTTGACTGATTTCTTTCTCCCTTAAATTTTTTAAATGGAAAAAATGATAGAAAATAGACATATTTTAACACTTTCATATTTGCTTCAATTGTTTTCTTACTCATATAAAAGTAATAAAAAATTGGAGGGCAAGTTTAGGTCCTCTCTTTGTCTTTCCTAATTCTATTTCCTTCCCTCCCCAGGACTACTAAGATCACCAATTATCTGCATCTTTCCAGCTGATGTTTTCATACTTTTCTCAAAATATGTATCCATAAACAATATGTAGCATTGTTTTCTATTTCCAAAATTAATCATTGTTATCATACATGTGTAATTTTTCAGCCTGCTTTTTTTCTCAATCAACGTTATGTTTGGAGATCTACGTCCACACACGTAGATCTAGTCCATCGCTGGTGACTACGGTGGAGTATTCCACCGTATGGTGACACCACATGGTTGTTTCCCCTCCCCCCCTCAAGGACACAGGTTCTTTTCACTTTCACTGTCATAGTATCAGTGCCACTGTTGAGCATCCGTGTCTAAGAGAGAAGCAGAGAGGCTGGGGCAGAGGATCAGGACCGCCTTGACTTTCTAGGTACATTTCAGAGTCTCTAGCAAGAGTTCCCACTCCTGCAAGTGGGAGCTAGTCTGACTCCTAGCTCTTTTCTCTCTCTGGCTGTTAGGCAATAGATGTCTAAAGCTTAACTGACGTTCTGCTGGCCCTCTCATTGTGACCAGGATAAGTCTCTCCCTCACACTCCCACCCCCTCCAGCAATGACCCTGTGGGAGGCTGACCAGGGAAGAAGAAAGGAATTGTTTGAATAGAGGCTCACAACACTAGCAGACACCCAGCTTGCTTCATTCCAGTCTGACAATGAGACCCAATTGAGCCAGAGTCCTGGACTCTGTCAGCACAACAGGGGGTGGAGTGACAGAAAGAACAGAGGCTGTAGAACAGAAGGCTGAAGGACAGAAGGCTGAGCTTTGGAGGAGGCAAGGAAACTGTCCAGTTGTCAGAGACCTGCTGTCCTCTGAGCTCTCACCCAAAGCTCTTCCCTGGACTTGACACCATTTGCTTTGTATACAAAGATGGGCAAAGTTACACTTTTTGGTGGCATTAGTTCCAGGTTAAGTTTGGGAGTGTGCCCCTGGGGCCTGGGTAGAGGCCAGCCTGGGCTAGAGCATTATTTGACCACTTTATTGGACTTTGGGTCACTGCGGGGAATATTTCTCCTCATATTTCACTGCACAGTTAGAAATCAGAGTTTTGAGGCAGCTGGTTCTCATTTCAGAACCTGCTTGCTCACTGGAGGAGATGCTTTTATCTAGTTGCCCAGGGAATTTTGTTTTCATCTATTTCTTCCAACAATGGCTTGCTGTCGCTTTCATTCAGTATATTGGGTTGCAGTGTTGAATTAAGTGGAACAGGATTATTTATTTAGTTGCCCTTATTTCCCCCTTGGTGGATTGCTTCTCAGTGACTGATGTTTATCAATGTGCCTCCTTTTCAGAAACCACAACAAATATCATTAAAACAGAGAAGCCGGTCAGAGCTCAGAGACCTGAGGGAAAAACCATAGTAAAACAGCACGTGACTGTCCTTACCCTCCAGCATAAGGTGCCACATTAAAGGAACAGTCAAGGACTATTTACTCACCCTTGGAAGGAATCACAGTGGTGAAAACTTCTATATTTTCATCGCTGCAGCTGTAAATCTGATGCATCGTTTCAGCCTTCTGTCCCCTAAAGTGCCCGGGAACCGGAGGCCTCTCTCTGAACCCTTAGTCGCGAGGTTTCCTGATCCAGTCTGGCTCGGGGATCATTGTGCTGGTCCACAAAAGACAGGCTGGTGCTGTGAGCTCATCTCATTCCAGAGCCTTCACTGCAACATTTTCTAATCCCATCTGTCTTTTTTTTTTTTTTTTTATGAATCCTATTATTGCAAACCTTTGATTGAGTGTGGAGGCTTCAGTCCCCTCCCAGCCAGGATGTATTTAACATTTTTATTTTGCCATGTCTGCCGCAGTGAATTTGGAAGTCTTTTGTGAAGTGATGAAGTGAAATCGCCTACTCAGTTAGCGCCAAGCTTGGATGGAGAATTTCACCGAAAAGGAAACATGATTTTTGGTAACAGCAATTCCCCTTTTCATTTCTTTTTTCCCCCTCTAGAAGAACTGGATATTCAATAACTTGTCATGTATTAATTTGGCTTCCTTCACAATTTCTATTTTAAACAAAAAGACTGTTTCTCCACAGCGTTTTTGCCTTATGCCACTGCATGACGAGGCTGACATTTCTAGAGAGACGTGTGCTTAGCGTCTCCTTGCACAGCCCTTCAGGTGCCTGCAGGGTGTGGGAACGAGCAGTTCCTGACACTCAGGGTGTGGTGCCCGACACTCAAGGTGCACAGTCACAGGATGGTTGTATTTGAACCTGTTTATTGTGTATATTAGACAGAAAAATAAGGTAGAGTCGAAACAGGGATATATTATGTCAAATGCATTGCTTTCCATTATACCATCACATATTTACTTCATATTGATAATGATGACAATATAATATTAATAATGAGAGTTGGCATTTGTGAAATGCTTGCTAAAAGCTAGGAAGCCTGATATGTTCATCTCATTTAATGCCTACAATTACACAAAAAGACTTTTTTTTTTACCATCCTATAGGTAAGAGAACTAACACGTGAAAAGATTGAGTAACTTGTCCAAGATTAAAATATCTAGTTCATGGCAGAAATAGTATTTAATCTCTAAGTTGATTCCAAAGGCAAATTGCTTAACCACTAAATTATACTCATTCTTTATCTCCATAGCCATCCTCTCTACTTTGAACCTGGGAGAACATGAGCCATAAACCCTTAGACTTGGACTTGGTGTCCATTGACATTTCTACAGTAGGTAAACTTGGGGCATTTATTCAGGAGGTAGTTGTCAATATTATACCCACATCTCTGAGAACTGCACCCAGCCACAGAGGATGGCTCTGGGAAGCCATGTTTGTTCTACTTGAATTTGTCCCTTTGGCCACATTTGATTGAACCATGGTGGACACCCAACACAAACTAATGCCACCTGAAAACAGACATTGGGCCTTGGTCTGGGGCCATAGGGAAGACATTAACTCTGAATAAGCTGAGGTGGCTGTCAGGGCCAATGCCGGTGACAGCGAGGGCAAACCAGTAGAAATAAATGAACTGTTGGTCTGAAAGGGGCCTGAGGCCTGCATGCAGATTCAGACTAAACATTCTAGCTGGGAGAGGGGAGCAAGGTACTCTTACCTGGGCCCACACTTGGTGTGTCTGTGGTTATGCGCACACACAATGAAGGCCAGTGGACAGTGGGAATGATGGGGGCTTGGGAATGAGGGTAGTGTTGGGACATTGAGGGTTGGTTATAGAGGATTGAGAAAGAACATAAACAGGTAGGGAAAAGGGAGGGGATAGAGTATTGTCCTAGTTTAATAGTTTCCCATTTCCTTCCTGTCTCTCTCAGGCCTAGAGTCATTCCTGTCTTGTGGTCAATGAGATACCTCAGTCTCCATGGATAAATTTCATTTTTGCTTAAGTTTGAGTAGATTTTGGCCATTGCCAGCTAAAAAGAGTGCTTCCTAAAAGACTTGTCTATACACTTTATAGTCTCCATAGTGATTAAATATGCAATTTAAGATAATGTAAAATTTAGAGGAATATCCAGTGCACTAGAAAGCAAAATCCAAATTAATGTGAATAGTCAGTAATTACGTTAAAATACTGTAGATAATAAAACCTACAAGATGAGCCCTGTGTTGATTGAGTGTTGGCCTATGAACTGAAAGGTTGCTGATTTGATTCCCAGTCAGGGCACATGCCTGGGTTGTGGGCCAGGTTCCCAGCTGGGGGCGTGCAATGTTTGATGTTTCTCTCCCTCTCTTTCTCCCACCCTCCCTGCTGTCTAAAAATAAATAAATAAAATCTTTAAAACCTACAAGATGAAATTTAACAGCACTAAACAAAAACATTTACTTTTACATTAAAAAAAATTTAATATTCTATTTATTTATTTAGAGGGGAAGGGAAGGAGAAAGAGTGGGAGAGAGAAACGTCACTGTGTGGTTGCCTCTCATGTGTCCCCTACTGGGGACCTGGCCTACAACCCAGGCATGTACCGTGACTGGGGATTGAACCGGCGACCCTTTGCTTCACAGGCCCGTGCTCAATCTACTGAGCTACACCAGACAGGGAACATTTAAAAAATTTGAAGTACAGAGTTAAGGTGACCTGATTTAGCAGCAATTTTTAAAAAAGAATTTGGGGTTTGGTTAACCACATATTTCATCATATTTCATAAGAGGCAATATTAAATGGCAGGGGCTAAAAAACAAAAATACGGTTTGATGTGGTACTAAATTGACATTAAGACCCCTTTGGGGCACCCAGAAGTCAATCAGGGTTACTTGGATTGATCTCAAAGAGTCCAGGCTGGATTAGGCTTTTTCTAAGAAGGGCCCAATTTAATCACAGTATATTGTACTGTGTCTAATGAGTAAGCCTGAAACACACAACTAAATGGGCTAATGAGAGGAAACACACCCAGAGAAAAACAATTCTGAAGAAACCATTTTTACCTGTTTGAAATACATTTTAAATAGTAAAAATTATACATGCTGGTGCTTGCTTTAGCAGCACATATACTAAAATTGGAATGACACAAATAAAATTATACATGCTTATAACAAATTCAAAAATTGTACATGGGTATACAGAAAAAGTGAAATACACTTCCCCAATTCTAGTCTCACTTCCTAAAAGCAATATTGTTTACAGATTAGTGCATGTATTTTCAGATATTTTCATATATATATGTATATGTGCACTTTAAAAAATAGAAATGGAGTCACAGTACACATACACACATACAGCATATTTACACCCTCATCATGTGTGAACATACAGAGTTCTCATCCTTTTCAAAGATGAGCAGAAAACCCTGAATTATAAGAATTTATCCATTTTTTCTCAATAGACCTACAGCTTACTCCTATTTCTTAAAAATAGAAATAATGCTGCAAAGTACATTCATATATATATGTCTTTTTAAAAAATATATTTTATTGATTATGCCATTACAGTTGTCCTATTTCTCCCTTCATTCCCCTCCACCCTGCACACCCCCTCCCCCACCATTCCCCCCCTTTAGTTTATGTCCACATGTCTCAAGTTCTTTAGATTCTATATTGCCCCTACTATTCTTGCCCTCCCCCCTATCTATTTTCTACCTACCGTCTATGCTACTTATTCTTTGTACCTTCTCCCCCCTTCTCCTCCTTCCACTCCCTTGTTGCTAATCCTCCATGTGATCTTTATTTCTATGGTTCAGCTCCTGATCTAGCTGTCCTCTTAGTTTGTTTTTGTTTTAGGTGTGGTTCTTAGTAACTGTGAGTTTGCTGTCCTTTCACTGTTCATCTTTTTTATCTTCTTTTCCTTAGGTAAGTCCCTTTAACATTTCATATAATAAGTGCTTGGTGATGATGAACTCCTTGAATTTGATCTTATCTGAGAAGTGCACTTTATCTGTCCTTCCATTCTAAATGAAAGCTTTGCTGGATAGAGCAGTCTTGGAAATAGGTCTTTGGATTTCATGAGTTGGAATACTTCTTTCTAGCCCCTTTTTGCCTGTAAGGTTTCTTTTGAGAAATCCGCTCACAGTCTGATGGGAACTCCTTTGTAGGTGACTATCCCCTTATCTCTTGCTGCTTCTAGTGTTCTCTCCTTCATTTTAATCTTGGCTAATGTAATGATGATGTGCTTGGTATGTTTCTTCTTGGGTCCAACTTCTTTGGGACTCTGAACTTCCTGGATTTCCTGAAAGTCTATTTCCTTTGCCAGACTGGGGAAGTTCTCCTTTATTATTTGTTCAAATAAGTTTTCCACTTGTTTTTCCTTTTCCCCTTTTGGTACCCCTATAATTCAGATGTTGGAATATTTAAAGATGCCCTGGAGGTTCCTAAGACTCTCCTCATTTTTTTGAATTCTTGTTTCTTCATTCTTTTGTGTTTGGTCATTTTTTTCTTCCTTCTGGTCCACTCCCTTGATTTGAGTCCCAGTTTTCTTTCCATCACTATTGGTTTCCTGTGCATTTCCCTTCATTTCAACTAGTTTAGCCTTTATTCGTTCCTTTAATCTGTGACTAAAATCAACCAGTTCTGTGAGCATCCTGATCATCAGTGTTTTGAACTGTGCATCTGATAGGTTGGCTATCTCTTTGTCGCTTAGAATTATTGGCTCTGGGGCTTTGAGTTCTTCTTGAGCAATAATGTTTTGGTCAGTTTGTGCCTGGTATGTAAGAGGGGCAGAGCCCTAGGTGTTCACCAGGGTGGGGCCACCCAGGTTGCTGGGTTGTGACGCTGTAGTGGGGGCGGGGTCAAAGAGGGCAATAGTGGTCCCCTCTGCTGCTTCCTGCTGCTGGGGCCTGCATGGTCTGTCTCACTGCTAGCTCCTTCACCTGGTTTATTGGTCTGGTTGAATGGTTCGTTGTTGCCGGACTTTCGAATAGTTCAATTTTCTGTGTTTTGGTTGTGTTTTTGTTACTAAAACTTTGTTGTCTTTAAACTTGGTTGTGTGAGGAGGCACAGTGTTTCCACCTACAACTCCATTGTGGCTGGAAGTCTATATATGTCTTTATGTATGTCTTCTAATATTTTTATAAGATGAATTTCTAGTTGTGGGAGTGTAGGTCATGGCAGATACATATTTAAAATTTTGGGAGAATTTCACAAATTGTTTTATAAAAATTCTGCATCAGT